CTGAGCACCTCATCTGCCCGGCTTTGAAATACCTCCAGGGATGGGGACTCCACCACTTCCCTGGGCAGCCCCTTCCAATGCTTAACAATCTTTTTGTGAAAAAACTTTTCCTAACGTCCAGCCTAAACCTTCCTTGGCACAACTTGAGGCCATTTCCCCTCGTCCTATCGCCCATTACCTGGGAGAAGAGCCCAACACCCATTGCTCGCGCAATGTAAGGAGGCTGTAGTGTCACAGAGAATCAGGACTGTTGCAGCCTTTCAGGCAAAGCATGCTGAACTAACCAAGACATCTGGCACCCAGTGCTGATAAATTGCTTGACAGCACTCAGGTGAGCACAGCAGATCTGGGGTGATGTTAAGTCACACTTCACAGAAAAAAAAATACTGAACATGCAAAGGTATGGAAACATAGCTCACATGAAGTTCATTTATTTAACTCTGTCTCCCATCCCTGCTAAAGACATGTGGGGGACATTGGGTACTTTTATTCAATTCAGAACTGCACTACTGACCAAATCTCTCAGTTGTACCCAGGTACCATGCTCTAACTCACATTTTATAGTGGCCTCAGAGCATACGAACTGGCTTGCTTTGGATGAAGCTGAACAAGAAGATGCTGTTCAACCATTAATGGACATTCACACCAGTCTGGAACTAGCTTGAAATAACCCACTGTCCAAAATGTGTATTTGGGACCTCAATGCCATCTCTCTCACCCTCATGGGGTGGGTCCACACTAATTGCCAATGTAAGCACACCCGTATTTTTTAGTTAACTACTCTGGGAATGAAGTAACAGCATAGGACTCAGCTCACAATGGTTGAGGGTAGTTATGACCTTGAAGGAAGACAGCTGGGCACTTGGGGGCTGATATTCCTTGCTACAGGAATCCCAGAATTACCTGGATTATAACGATGTGGGGAAAAACCCTGAATAATGCACCTAAAGTGCACCCTTTTTTTCTTATTTGGATAAATTTACTCAAATAGAGGCACATTCCATCATAGTATATTAGATACTCCAACTGCATTCACTCTTCAACATACTACAGGCTATTTCTGTGAAGTACAGAGTGGCAGGGGAACATTAGGAGCATGAAATATTAATCTTTCCATCATGTTATTCCTGAGTCTGGCCTAGGTTTTCCAAGTTAAATGTGCTCTCACTCCACCTGAATATGCCTATTATTTGGAATTCCATCTGTTCTGTAAAATTCAAAATTGATTACCTTAATGACAGCTAATAGGCGGAACTGTTCTATTGATCAGACTTCACTCCTCCATGGAGCCCACTTCAATAAAAGGCAGCCCTCAAGCTGTTTTGCCTCCTTACTTAATTTTTGGTCTTTTACATGGAGCTGCACGCAAACAATCATTAACAACCTTGTCTAGAACATGTGCATATTTCAGAGCAGAATCTCACTCCCTGTAAATCCATGACAGTTCTTCTCTATACAGCAAAAGAACTGGGAGCAATCATTTATTCTGAGTGTTCAAGTACCCAATTAACCAATCAACCCTTTAAGTATGTTTTATAAAAGGTGTTCTTTGAGAATCTGTGATCTGTTATCCTAGATATGCTGACTCATTTGCTAAAATACTTAGAAGTCTCATTTTAGCATTATGCCTATTACTTAATTTTCATAAAAAACCAGCCTCCTTATTTTTATATATGACTGTAGAGCTATTTGAACTCCCAAAGGCCATTAAAAGTAGCAAGAATTGGGCTAAACTGAGACAATTTACAGGCTCATGTTAAAACACAAGGATCTTCAGCCAGTGTAAATTACCAAACATTGACCCAGTACTTGACTTCTTGTTGTTATTTTCTTCTCCTTTTTTTAATGGAAAAGTGGTTTTAATGGTATATTCACACATCCAGCTAACAATCCTCAAGACGGAGAACAAGATTCACTAGAGCCAGATCCCAAGTCTATTAGCGTCTGCAAGCTTTTCTATGGACTTCTGAGCATTTCTACGGACTTCTGGGTCTAGCAGAAAGCCAACTGTAATCGTTGTACCCTGCACAGTATCCAACTCCAACCACCTGAAGAAACCATAGCTGTGTCGGAAGCACCTAAGCATACAGAGGCAACCGCGTTCAGCTTACATCTTGATCAAGCAATCACAACTTGACAGTAAGAGACAGCATTACATATCACTTACAAAACATTTTCTGTACATGATGCCTAAAAGGCTTAAAGTTCAGACTCATGAAACAGATAAGCAAGGAGATAAATGATTAAAATCCTAAGTAGTTTAACTGAGATGGAGGTGAGCAACATTGCTTATCAAAAAGAAACAGTACAGAAACATTTTTAATTAACAAAGGGAAGAAAGGGATGCTTATTGCCTGGCTCCAAGCAGGTAAGGCAGTGCATTGCTTATCTCCACATCCCAATCATTTTCTAATTATTACAATTTTTGTAAATCTCAAGACAGAACATGCCTTCATTTGCATATAGACACATGGGTCTGAATTAGATTTTCAAACTTATGCCTGCAAAGCTTCTGCAGATGTTTTCAAACTTTCCCCACCCTGTTCCTGCAGTGTCTTTTCATACCCAGCTTCTGTTTGGGTTAGCGTGGTAGAACAGAGCACAGACTTAAGCCAACTGTGTTACTTGCCTGTCTCTGGGTCCAGGGGATGCCACAGCAAGGAATACAGAAAAGGGACGGTAACCATCTCTTAAGACAGCAGCAGCTGCTTCTGAAAAAGACTCAGTCCTCTACAGACAGACCAGCACTTTACCTTCAATTTTCTACCAGTTCCAATTTTCAGTTGCCTGATCAGTTTTAAGCAAGGAAAAAAACCTAAGCAATTCTTGATATGCACTAGCCTAGAAATAGAATTTCAGCTGGAAATAGAATTTGGATAGAGCCTTTCTTCAGTTATGATCTGTTTTAAATAAAATAAGGGGGCTGATCTGTGTTTGGTGTTAAAAGATAAAGGTCCACTCAAATCAATGGACACAGATTGGATCTGACCCCTCACCGCTAAGCTATTTTACTAATAAGGTATTGTGAAAACAACAACAAAAAAATTATGCGAGTGAGCAAAGTTGCTTACAGACTCAACCATTAATATTCATCAAGATCATTGATATTTATATATGCCTGATATTTCTATTTCATGCTCACACTAGGGCAGAGCTGAGAGTGCATGTACTTTCAGAATATTTAAGTGCACCATATGGATATAATTGCAACTCAATCAGTTATAGAATATATTCAGTCAAAACTCTGCATAATACTGAAGACCTATTCTGGGCATTTTATACTTCATAAGGGAAGAGAGAAGTAGCAAAGACACGGCATGCCAGTAGCAAAATGGCATTAGGCAGGTGACACTACTTGAAACAAAATCACTGCTCCGTTATAAAAGGCAACCGACTTACACTTCTCGACTCATAAAACCCCGACACTTGTACACAGCTCCAAGAAGGAGGAGGGGACAGCCCCACAGCTCTCTTTGTTCGGAAAAGGCACTTATACATAAACCCCTGCCCTGCCTCCCAGAAACCCAGCCAGACTAATTTTAATCTGCAGCAGTGACAAAAACATGTATTCCAAAAGCAGAGAAGCCCGACAGATGTAAGGTTAGACGAAGGCACAGTTTCTTCACCCCCAGTATCAAAGTTGTTTTCTTCTTCTTGTTTTAACTGCACCATTGAGCCTGTTTTGGCCATTAGCAAAATGTCACCCTGATAATGTAGATTATATGATGCTACTTGTGGTGCCTTCTCATGCTTTTCCCTTCCTCAATTCCCTAAAATAAAGCACTGAGAAAAAAAAAAAAAAAAGAAAAACAACGTGCAAGGCTCTCAGCCTATCAAGCCACGGAGAACTATTTTAAGAATTAATTTGTGCCCTGAGAGATCTGTTTAAATTATCCTCCCGTGCTGTCCTAACCGAAGATTAAAGCGGTGAACTTCCAATGTCTTAAGGAGACAACGAAAATCGAAGAACTGGAGCGTACGGGCTCCTCCGCCGTCCCCCCAGGCATGGGGCCGAGAGCGGGGAGGAGAAGCTGGTGCCGAGGAGGATGGAGCTGCTGATCTGCCGGAGCGCCAGGAGCCCACGAGCCTTTGCCATCCTCAGATGGGGCTCAGAGATCGCAGCCAGACTTGCCCTTATGCCACCACTCTTAGCTCTGCCTGTCCTTTACAGCTGAGGGTATGTCCCCTTTTTTCTGCCACCCACTGCTTTTTTGACAGGGAAAGTTTGGACTTCATTTTGTCCTGGTAAGTGCAGTCAGACAGGAATACCCTCTAAAAACCAGGCATGCCAGAGAAAATTAAGTTTTTAACTTTCCATCTCTATAGACACACAAAGAGCACCTACCAAGAGAAGGGAAATGAAGCAAGTTCAGCTATGGTGTGAGCACTGCAATTTTCCCCAAAGTCAGTGGGACTTATACCTACTCACAGCTGCTTTTTGCCTCCCCCCCCCATCGCTGCTTGCACACGCACAGCCCGAGCACACGCTGTACTCTGAAGTGTCCCTCCAAGAAAATGTCAGCCAAAAAAAAAAAAAGATAAAATCCCTGAAAGTGCATGACAAAGTAAGAAGCTGAGACCCACTTCTACAATTTTATATCCATCTGCAGAGAGGCTGTTAAAAAGCCTTTACCCCCTTCCTCCAGCGAGAAAGGGCCTCCATCCCAGCATCCTGCCCCCCCTCCCCGCGTGTAAGGAACAAGTTACAGAACAAACCTCTATAGCCTTCAGCAAGAGGTACAGGCTGTTAAAAATAGCACAGTTTCAGCTTCCCCCTCCGAGCCGCCACACACACCGAGAAAGCAGACCTTGAACCCAGCCACACGGTACTTTCCTCCTGCCACTGACTGGTGACTCAGTTGACAATTTTAGGAATGCAAACCGAGACGACTAAAAATAATAATAATAATAATAGTAATAATCATCATCATCATACAAGAAACACAGAGCTATACAATGCAAATCTGTATTTGTTTGAAATTGAGGAAAATAAGCATTACCTGTTCTTGTTGTTGGGCTTGTTTCCCTGATGCATTTTGCTCCTTGGCTGTAGTCATGCTCACCTATTTGTGCCCACTGCAGTGGCAAACAGGATTTTACTCTGTCTGTGTGTGTGTGTGTGTGTCAGCTTGTCTGTGTGTGTTCAGACATACACGCGCACACACACACACACAAAGACTGAAGGGATAAGGATGAGTAACTAGTCCATCACTTAATCACCAGCTGAGAAATTTCCCACCCCCACAAAAAGAAATAAATAAAAATGCAACGTAAAAAAGCACTAGTCTAGCTGTCTTCCCCCTTGAGCCTCTAAAATAAAAGCAGAAGCAGAAGCAGAGAGAATGATGCTGTGGGGGCTTCTTCAATTAGCAACAGCCTCTGCAATCGTCACAGAAACAATGATAACTGCTTGGCAACCAGCAACTGGCAGCTCGGAGCCGGGAGGCAGCGATGTGGTCCTCGCTCCCCACCTCCACGGCGGCAGCCCGCGCCTTGCGCATGCACCGGCTGCCTCGTAGCACAGTGTGCTGCTCGCTGGCGATGTGCAGAGACGGAGCTCGGCAGCCGGCTCCCCTCCTGCAGCCGAGGTGGAAGGGGCCACAGGCACCCGGCGCTTGGGAATTAAATCCCGCATTCCCCACCGTGCCGGCGACCGGGCGTCCCAAGGCCGCCGAGCTCCTGGCAGATGCGCTCTCGTCTTCTCCCCAACTTGCGGAGGTTTCAATGCCCCGGCAGTCCCCAGCTATGAAGGGAAGCTGTGCCAAGGGCAGCCTCTGCCCCGCTGCTGGGGCAATTTTGGAGGAGGCAGCGTGCACTCCTAGGGAAGCGGGTTCCCACCAACGGGACGCAGACAGCACCAATGCTCCCTGGGGGGCTGCTTGCCTTCACTGCCCAAGGGTGGCATGTTTAAGGGAGTAAATCATGCCCCCAGCCTCCCCCTGGCCCTCTCCATGTCCCTGAGGTGACAGGGGCCACTTTGCATTTGCTGCCTCCTGTGCACTTGCAGCTTCCATGTAGAATCACAGAAACATAGAATCGCTTTGGCTGGAAAAGACCTTTAAGATCATTGAGTCCAACTTTTAACCTAACCCTGCCATCCCACCACTAAAACA